CCTTTTTTTGTGATTTTGACCAATGTTTTCCAAACTTTTCAGCTATCTACTCAAAAATAATAGTGGAAGAGACTTGTTGCTTCCTTAACGATGACTGAAACATACAATCATATCTAAAACATCTAAAACAGGGCATACAAACACAAACAGTAATAACAATCATTTTGCAAATTTTATTCATTTATTACTACGGCCTCTTGTCCAACGTCACGGAGTGAAGAAAAATTGGAAAAACCCTCCCTCTATCCATCGGCCCATGCTGTGAACATGATAACTAGACAAATAATGAGGGACTGGCTTCTATTTAGGTATGAGGCTGCATCACACCAAAACGGTAAGAAAGGCTTCTTTCAAAATTTGGTTTGCCATCTCAAAATCTAGAATGACTGTCACCTTAAATGTCTGTCAATCTTGTGAGCTGGATAACTTGAAAAAAGTGAGATATACCGACTTCCATGTTGGTGTGTTGCTGCATCTAGGCATGCACAATTAAAAATTGATCAGGCCAATGGTGGAGCCACTGTTTGGCCAACACTGGCTCCACCATTGCACCTGGGAAATAAAATAGTTCCTTCCATTCGCCAGGATCAGTCACTCTGCGCTGCCTTGGACAAGCAAAAAAATTAAAATAATACCTTTGTTCTTATACACAACAAAAACATCACTCTCATTCCCTGTTCAATTCCAGTCCAGAAAAACACTCATCTCAAAAACTACAAACATTCACTATTCAAATCCCTCAGCAATAGTGGGCATCAGCTAACTGCTTGCTTACTTTTAAAATATGGCAATAACATGCTATTAAAAGTCCTTTTTAATTTTCATTTGATCACTAAACGTTATCTCAACCAAAGTGAGGTTCAAACTTTGGGTACCAATAATTTTGACTAGAGTTTGTAGTACAGTAGTTCCTCATTTATCGCGGTGGATCTGAACCCTGAAGACCCATGATAAGTGAAAAAACGCGGAGTAGGGATAGTAAGTAGTATTTTATTTTAGTATTTATATATTAAGGCATTTTAAACCCTTCCCACACTCGCGTAATATTCTAAACAATATTTCTAAACTCTAAACGCTCTAAGAGCACAGAGTGTCATGGTTTCCCTCTCTGTCTCAGCCACCTGCAAGCGTTCTTGGCCACGCCCACTTTCCCGCTCTGCACAGAGAACAGCTGTTTAGCTGCAGGAGGAAGCTTATCCTGCAGCTGTGGGCTGCACAAAAGTGCAGCAGGTGCTAAATATATATATATATATATATATTTTTTTTTTTTTTTTTTATTAACCTTTATTTAACCAGGCAAATCCCACTGAGATCACAGATCTCTTTTACACGGGAGGCCTGGGCCTGTAGGCAGATTAACATGCAAGTTTTTAGTCTGTGGCAAATTTATTTTAAATAAAAATTCCATGCCGATCGTGCGGCTCATCCATCAATCAGCCAACTGTGCGTCATGCCAAATCTTATTTTGAAAAAGCGCGATAGAGCGAGTCCGCAAAAAATGAACCACGAAGTAGCGAGCGAGGGACTTACTGTGTTGGAGTTAAAACGTTGTTTTATTTTTCTACCAAACTGAAGTTTACCAGTACAGACTGGAAAGCTTAGCTGAGCTGTAACATTTTTTAGGCTGCGGTTCCATTTGCACAATAATTAGAAATATCAGAGATTCATACTTACAATTGAAAATGTGTACTTAAGAGCATGTAAGGAACCAATTTTTCACGTCTGCCAAGAATAAATATCAGTAGGTCTCCTAAGACAATATGAGTAAAAATAAAAGTTTAATCAACATTTTTCATCATCGCAGCAAAATAGTTTCATCATCTAAATATCTGATACACAGATGACATAGTTTCTAGTTCAGTATGTGCAAATCATTTTCTGTTTGTTTAAATATTTCATATTTCACTGTGTTATAAATGTTCAGTTGTACTATATCACCATGCACGAGTGTTATTGGACCTCAGGTTGAAAGTTTTGTTTCAGCGGTGGCTGACTGACTGTTGAGGTTTTATCCAGATGAAGAGCAGATCCCGACAGATAATGCTAAAGGAAAGTGTTTTAAAATAGCTGTTTGTTTGTACTTTGTATTATGGGCTGGTTCACTGGCATGAACGTTTAGTATCACCACTTCTTCCACTTCAGGATCCAAAATGTTTCATTGTGCAATGACTTATGTCAGAAAAGTTGAACATTTCTGTTTCGTGCATTACAAAGCTGGTTCGTGCGCCCAGTGGAAGCCTCAGTGGACAGTCACGGACTTCATGCCATCCCATCATGTCATCATTTACTCACTAATTGTTTCCACAGCACTTTGCAGCATTTCTTCTCATTAATGCTCCTTTGCTTCAACTAAATGGACAATTCAATTGATTTTTTCCCTTTAATCTTATCACCACCATTGTTTTTTACATCAATTGAAAATGTTCCTCTACAAAAAATGTACAGCTGTCTTTTCCTCATCAGAGCATCACCTGGGGGGGGGGGGTCACATTGCCCACAGAAACAACCTCCTTTTCACTGTCACACCACCAGCAAGCTTTACATCTTGATTACATCACAGATTAACGTCCTGGCACCGATGAAACAGATTTTCACAATCCAGGCTCAGTAACAGCCAGTGTGGTTGAGCTGCATCAACATCTCTGTGCATGTGTGCACAGCTGGGTCAAAGTACAGCCAACGCAGCTGGCTCTGTTCTACTGCGAGACAAAAGTACATTTTTCTGAGAGGAGTCCCTGCCATCTGCAGGAAAAACAGTTTTCACTATCAAATATGTCTCAAACAGCCAGTACAGACGACACCCAGGCGTAAACATGCTGGGGTACAAATAAACATCAAATCAAGTGTCACTTTGGAGTCTCTGAGAGCTTTTTTGACCAAAGTTAAAATAAAATACTTCATAATTTAAAGGAGCACCCGTTGAGACCTTTTTGTATTCATTTTTGTTTTGACCACAGACACATAATCCAAGTATGTTCTTCCATCCATCATCATGTTTACCCGCTTCTTCCTTTTCGGGTCGCTGTGATCACTGGTGTCCATGTCCAGCAGTCACTGTGCAAAAGACAGGGGACACCTGGACAGGTCTCCAGTCCATCACAGGGACACATAGAGACAAATGAGACAAAAAAAAAACATTCACCCTCTCATTCATACCCAGAGACAATTTAGAGTTCCCAATCAGTCTAACATGCATGTTTTTGGTCTGTGTGAGGAAACTGGAGTACCTGGAGAAAACCCGTGCAGCACAGAGAGAACATGCAAACTCACCCAGTATGTTCTTTATGTTAGGTTCAAAGTTAGAATGAACACAGGTGCATGTGCATGTGCATGTGAAAGAGGATCAAACACTGTATTTCTGTGGATGAGTCAGTGCTGTTAGTTAGCACGAGGGCTTCTGCTCAAGTGTTTGGGAACAAAGACACATCAGCAGACAAGAGGCAGAAAAAGATGCTGTTTGATGTTTTGAGCTTCAACCTGTACGTGTCGGGGAAACGTTGGCAGCCTGTTGGAACACTTTCAGAGGAGGTGCAGTTATTGTAGCAACTCTGAACTGGGCTGCCGCTGTTAGCAAATTACCAGTGAGTCTGGGTTGTAGGAGCTGGAAGGAGCATGTCAAACCCTTTTCACTGCACTGTCTGTAATTCTTCAGTGCTAGCAGTGCACGTTTACACGTACGCAGGAGCTGTATAACAAAAAGCATCTGAGGCTACAGCCCCAAGTGTCCTGCTCTGACCATGCTAATCATAAATCTTCAATATTTCACAACTGGTCAAAATTATATCGTCATTCCTAAATTGCACTTGAGGAGATTTAATCATAAATGTACCAAGGTGGAACAAATATTTGACTAACAGCTGAGATACATTTCCCATTCAGTACCACCACACCAGCGCGTCCTTCCAATACTTGGGGAATGTTCATTCTTTCAAGAACTGCAAGTTTCACGTGCTAATATGATGTAAAGAGAGCAGCAGATGAGCTGCAAGGAGTTCAGTTTGCTCTTCTCAACCAGTATATAAGAGCTGTAATGTGAAATAGAACCATGTCTATGTTTGAAGATGGATGTTCCCGGACATTTGTCAGATTAACTGCAGTCCTGCACACAACTCGTTGATGCGGACCTTAAACACATGAGTCTTACAGCCATGTTCTGGGGTTAGGAGCAGCTTGAAGCTGTAAACTTTTATTTTGAAAACTTTGTAGGGATTAGATGTATTCTTTCAACATGTAGGCAGATTACATGTCAGAGCAGGATCCACCACATGATCTTCTCATATTTATTGTATGGTCCAGATCATGCACGACTTCTGCTTTAGAACCTGCTTCTTTAAGATACACGCAAATAGATGCATCAAAGGGAAAGTGAAGACTGAGCACAAACTCTTTCTGATTTCTGAATATTACATTTAAAACATCCTGCTCTCCATGGACCTGAGCCTCTGCAGGTGCGGGCTCGGCGAGTCTCATGCGCAAATCCTTTACGCATCAACTCTGATGTGAACTGCCAGATTGACGTCATTTGGTGGATTTCTTCTCGTGCCCAACACGCGCTGTCTGAGCAGCTGCACAAAACTCCAGGATGGATCGACACCAGCCACAGGCGATCAAGGAAAACAGTCCGAACCACTGTGGAGTTCTGGTTCAGGTGGACCTACCCACGCGCACAGATCCAAATAACAGGCTGAACAAGCTGAGCGCCACATCCACCGCAGAGAGCCACGCGCTCAGAGGGGCGCACAGAACCGGACCTGGAGAACCCAGGACCGGAGCGTCCGAGGACCAACCAGAACCAGAACTTTTAAATGTACAATGACCTGCAGCTCAGAGGAGCCTTGAAAACACACCAAACTCAAAAACCCGCAGCTTCTCCAGCAGAATTCCTTCTGGACTCGGTCCACCGAACTCAGAACCGGCTCAGTTCGGGTTTCCATCACCTGCCAACTCCCCCACCCTGACCCCCAGAACAGGGGGACACAGCCGACGCCCACATGACTCACCTGATATACACACAATAAAATTGGCGTGAAGAATGATGAGTATCTCCCAGATTATATCCATCATGTGTCTTCATTCCACGCGCATCACGCACGGAGACAGTGGAGAAGGACTAGAGGCACCGAGCGGTACCTAGCGCGCGCTCAAGTCCGGTCCGACCAGGCTGGATCCCGCTGCTGAACACCTTCCACCAGGTATTATCCACAGCATCCGGAACCAGAAGCCCAAAAACAATTCCCAACAGATGAAGAAAAACAAGCAACTCCACAAATAATCAAATAAAATGAAATAAAATCAAATCAAATAAAATGTCTCCAACACGAGCTGTTTGTTCACGGTGTTTTTCCAGAACCCTGGATGGGTCGCATCCTCTGTCAGTCCGCGCGGTTCCGTCTCAGAGCGGACAATCCGTGTTGCACCCGGTGAGAGCCAGGGAGGGGGGAGGGGGTGAGAGGGGGGAGGGGGTGAGAGGGGGCGGGGTTGGAGGCCGGGTGGTCCGGGGCGGCTGTGGGCTCCGTCTAATACCTGGAGACCCAGGCACAACTCTCAAACTCCCCGCGGGGCAGGTTGACGGTCCGGGGCTCAGCAGCGGTCCTACAACCGAACACCGTCAAGTTCCTGCGGGCAGCGCGTGCACAGTGCCGGAAGTGACTGTCAGAATAAAAGCCTTCATTTAATCGACGCGCATTGAAAAGGTGTGTCCGTACACGCATTTATTTCAAGCGTGTTTAATTTGTTTGTTTTGTATTTAATATGTTTTTGTAAAGTATGAGGAAAACAAGTTTACATAATTCACAAAACTGAGGGATAAAAAAAGAATGTGGCGCTAAATAATCTGGACTCCAAAAATCAATCTAAGGAAAAGTCTCAGAAAAGTTCATGTTGTACACTTTTATAATTCATACAGTTTTTTCTTCTTTGAATGTCTGGTGTTGTTTTAATAACTAACTAATTGATTCATTGATTCACTGACTGATTGATAGATTTTATATTTTAGGCAAAGTCTATTCCAGTCTTATTGCCAACATCAGTGATGCAGGAATTATTAGTCTGAGCTCAGCACACACACACAAATAATCCAGGACTCTAAATCCCAGGCTGAATGAGCAGAGAGAACACAAAATAACTTGAATACATTAGCTCTATTTTTTTAAAGGGTTTCTTTGGAAACCAACAAAGCATGCTCAGTAATCCAGGTAAACAATCCAACAATTTTCATTCAGGTCATCTGGACACTTTCTTTTTTTGTTGTTTTGTTTGTTTTGTGCTGAAACATTTCATCCAGAAGGCTTCTTCAGTCAAGGAAACACACAACACAAAACTGATTCTTCCCCCAAACAGCTTACTCCAAAGTGGAACAAACCAGTTGTTGGTGCTAAGATGGTGTCTTCGGCGCGCCCCCTCCTCTGGTGCCGGCCCTCTCCCTCATCAACATTCATGTCAAACTGGTTCAAAACCAACAATGTCCATGCTCAATAATCCAGGTATGCAATCCAACAATTTTCATTCAGGTCATCTGGACAGTTTCTGAAACGCTGAAATCTTTCAGCACCCAAAAAAAAAAGAAAGAAACTGTCCAGATTACCTGAATGAATATTGCTGGATTGCATACCTGGATTATTGAGCATGGAGTTTGTTGGTTTTGAACCAGTTTGACATGACTGTCAAAGAGGAAGAGGGCCAGCACCGGAGGAGGGGGCGTGCCAAAGACACCATATTAGCATCAACATAACTGGTTTGTTTCACTTTGGAGTAAGCTGTTTGGAGGAAGAATCAGTTTTGTGTTATGTGTTTCCTTGACTGATGAAGCCTTCTGGATGGAAGGTGAAACGTTTCAGCACAAAAAAAACAAAAAAAAAAGAAACTGTCCAGATGACCTGACTGAAAATTGTTGGGTTTCTTTTGAAGTTTATTAACATTTAAGATCTTACCTGTTATACAGTAAGTTGCAAAATTATTTTTCTCTCTTGACTTAAAAACAATATCAGTAGTATTATTATCAATATCAATCGTTTCAATATTGACACATGCTTGCTCAAGATGAGAGTTCTGCTATAGAGTTAAATTCAAAGCAGTCTGCTCCTCAGATAAATAATGTTAAATTATTATTTTTATATGAATGTTTCTGTTCAGTGCCCTGAGATGACTTCTGTTCTGACTTATTGGCATTATAGAAATAAACTGAATTTCTTTCTTCGACAGCCAGATCAATCGCTTTTAACTTGAAAGCTGCATCATAAAACATTCTCTGTGTGTTTTCCATTATAGCTGAACAAATGAACAGGCCCGTGCTTGAAGCGCAAAATACAGTAACGATACGGGAATGTTCTGAATAAATGAATGCATGTCTATTGGGAGGATTGTCTTTGAGAGTGTACTCAGTCATTCAGCCACATGATGACATGGGTGGAGTTATGGTAGTGAATTTGAAACCCTGAGCAAGAGTCTGTACATGAGGTTACCTGAGGGCATTCTCTCCGTGTCACAAAAGCCCGCCCCCAAGACGGGAGGGTGTGGGAGCCATGAGCGCCCAGCTCTGTCAAACGAAAATGTTAGTCAGTGCAGGAAGTTACCGAGAGACGGCAGGAAGTCTGTAAAAAAAAACCCAACATAAATTAGCCACTCCTGCTTACAAACTGCGGGGTACAAATTGTGAGGAAAAAAGTAGCGGCTTGTACGCTGGCAATTACGGTAATTGGCTTGCGTTTTATACCAAAGTCTCTTGATTTCTGGAGCACTACTGTCAAGCTCTCCAAGTGGTCTTGAAATGTTTTGCTGTAGACCAATGTGTCATCCAGGTAAGGGGATGCAGATGTTGTCACACAGTCCATCATCCAAGCACTCTTTCATACAGTGCTGAAATGCTGCAGGGGCATGCATGAGTCCAAAGGGGATGTGAATTCACTCCTACAATCCCTAGAGGGTCACAAAAGCAGTGAGTGGGTGACTTTCTTCTGACATGAACCCCTGGTGGTGCTTTACCTTGGTCTAAAAGTGAGAACCAAGAGTTTCAACCTGTCCGTAATGTCCTGGATGCGTGGAATAGGCTGACAGTCAGGATTTTTTAAAATTTAAATCTCTGTAATCTATGCACAGTCTTAAAGTGCCGTCTTTTTTTCTATCGCACACCTCTGGTGAGGAGTGTGACGAGTCTGATTTTCTGACCCAGCGTTCTGCTATGAAATCATGCAGGCAACTTTTCATCTCTTGATGGAGTGGCTGTGGCACTGACAGGCATGTGCGTTTACCCGCTCACTGTCTTTGAGTGAAATAGTCATTTTCAAAATTTCAGTGCAGCCTATATCATTGTCTGTTTTAGAGAAAGACTGGCATTCCTCTCTGTGCATCTGTTTCACACTAATACGGTCTGCTCTTCATCAAGGTGGCTAAGATCTGTGGGTCCCACTCTTCACTAGAGCTACACTGGGCTTGTGTGCTCGTCTGGATAACAGCAGCTACAGATGTGGCTTTTTCAAACATCTGGGCAGGTAAAATAGCTGTAATAGTCTGAACTGATCCAATACTGTATGACTTGAAATAATAATTTCATGATCAGAAGGATTAGAGACATCTAGTGTTATGACTGGTGAAGTACCTTTAACCTTAACCAAAATGTTAAAAAAACTAGATTGTCTGGCCACTGAGGATTTAAGTCTGACTCAAACATCATAATCGTCTTGTTTAAATGGCCCTGCTTCCATGCAACTCTCAACCTGTATGTGACTTTGTTTAGGTACAGTAATACAGTCTTTCTTTGTCGTTACTTTGTACTCATCAACTGCATCCACACTAACAGCCTGTATAAAAGCTTTCACCTTGTGTCTTTTGAGGCTAGGGAATGCTTTTCTCACTGTACTGGACTGTTTAGCTTGGTCAGTCTTATTCAAAATGTATTCAATGACATTGTAGCCTATAATTGGACATGTCAGCTGAAAACTTTTCATAACCAACACAGGGATGGTCAGGTTCTCAGTTTGTTCAATTCCGGAAACAAGCTGGAAAGTTGTCTCAAATCATCCAAGATATGGTATGTTGGTCCCATTTGCTGCAGTCAGAGTGAGTTCAGATGTGTCCATAATCTCTGCAACATCTCTCAGCTTTATCTGTGGTAAATAGGCCTCTTTCCACCGTTCTTCGATGATTGACACCTGTGAGCTTGAATCCCAGAGAGCCTGAAGTCTGCGGCCATCCAGGAGACACTCGACCAACCATTGTCTGCCCACCAGCAATGTGGCTTTGTGAGGAGTGTTTAGCTGGGCTGGTGTAGTGGGTTGAGAAATGGCTACATTAAGAAAATAAAATTAAAATAAACCTTGATTAAAATAATCCCCCCACACCCCCTATTTTTGGTTGTAATTTTGAGATAGTCTTAACTTCTCTGCTATTTCGTTTATATTCTGTACATGCAACTTCTTACCAGTAGAGGGCACTCTCATGAGACTGTGGGTCTTCCAGGGAGGATGTAGTTTCTGGCTCTGGGCATGCCAGCTCAGAATAAACGAGCTCTGGCATGGATAACGTCTAAGAACCGTCTCCTCTCTGTGATCCACAGGTATGATAAAAGGCAACTTTTATAAGCCCCAAAACATCTGATTTAAAATGTTATGTGAATATGTTGAGATTATTTTTGTAATATTTCAAGCAACTGATACATGGAATTTGGACAGTTTAATATTAAGCCTTGGTCTGTGTTGGTAGATAGCATGTTTTCTGTTGGTAGAGTGATTTTGGATTTAGTTAACATAATCAGTCACTGCTGTAGTACATGTATTTAAATACAAAGTACTATTACAATATTAATATGTCAGTAATATTTAGTGTAATAAGATTTCTCATAAATGTGTTTCTTTTGCAGTAAGCACTACATAATTGCCAATTGCCGGTGGGATGTAACTAAGTACAAATACTTTGTTACTGTACTTAAGTACATTTTTCATGTATCTGTACTTTATTTAAGTAGAGTTAAATGTGGGTACTTTATACTTTCACTCCACTATATTTTACATCAAGTATCTGTACTTTCTACTACACTACATTTCTATAATGCGTTGCGTTACAAGTTACATTCATGTTGCAGCTTTTTGATTTGTTTGTTACTTTGAAAGTAACCGATGGTGAGAGGGGAGTTGATCCACTGAATCACTGTAAAGTGGGCAGGTAACGTTAGGCCCACCTTCAAGAAGAACTGGACCAATGACATATATTCTAGTATGTATGTCACTGAGCTGGGTGCACCCGCAGCACCACTAACACACCCAGAATGTATTCCACCAC